TTTTTATTTAACTTTTTTTTTTTTCATTGGTTCGAGAGAAAAAATTGAAATTTAATAAAATTCAACGTTTGTGGTGTGCTGTAGTGGCGTGGCGTTGGGTGGTGTGGAGGGAAAAATGTGCGGTGAGGTATAGCGAGAGAAGCGGGGTAAAGGAGAAGTAACATGCAAATCCACTTTTATTTCACATTTTGTCAAGGTCACTTATCTAAAATCATTAGTTTACTCTCGTCCATAACCCACCTATAGAAATATAACTTAAATAATAATCTACTGTGCAATAATTGTGGATAAAAAGTTTGTATACGTACCTTTAATCTGAAGAGAATATTTCTCTGGAATTTCCTCGTAAAATTCATTATTTGCTGTACAATAATAATCTCGTTCATCCAAACGGCTAACATTATTAATCGATATAATAGCGCGGTGAGTGAAGTTAGTTTTTTCAAACGTGACTTTTATTCTTTCTAAAACATTAAAAGATCTAAATGATTCAAGTTTTGACAAATAAAGCTACTTTTACAATCGAAATAAGTTGCATTATAACTTTAGTCTTAAACTGACCAGAATCTTCAACTTTGTTGTTTTCATCATCATACCATACGGCCTGAAAAAATTCACGAATGACAGCAGAACATACTAAAGAAATATTTTGACCTTCATGAAATTTCATTTCTGGTTGTATAACTCCATAAGCCTTATTGGGAATTCCATCTTTAAATAAAAGAATGAAAATTGAAAAACATTTCATAGCAGTAAATTTTCATCAAACTAAAAACTTGACGTAAATAGTTGGTTTGGATATACGAACCAGTGGCATGAATGTCATATTTTATATCGCTACATCCATAACTATTGCAAGCCATGCATTTTATTGTTGACTCTGCTTGAGGTCTTAACATTACCATTGACTTATATTCGGCACTATTGCTTTGGTCATCCATCTTGGTATCCTTTAAATACTTTATTTGAATTCAAATTAGAACTCTACAAAACTTACCTTTTAACAAAAGTAGAAGGTTTGACAAGTTCGACATGTTACATTTAATTACATACGTTATTAATTTTAATTATTAGCGAATTGTTAATTTAGCGTGACAAACTATTCGAGTCTAAGCTTGCGCTTGATAACTTGGGACTTACACTGGGCAAGTAGGTGCAACGAAGGGCTAGAGAATAATTAGGAATACGTGATAAAATACCCAATAATAAGGGAAAAGTGCTTTTAAGCGTAATGAGTCAAGTTATAATGCCTCAGAGTGGCTGTAGTGCTGTATCGCGATGCACTTTCTCGCGACGCGCCTAGAGGTCTACAATACTACCCGGAGCGGTGTATACAAGGTGTCCCATTCTGCGATCTAGAAACTACCGATACCGTCACCAAGTTAAACCGCCTCGTGGAGAACCGTATGATAGCAGAGGTTGACTCTAGCTACTCAGTCGACCTTTTGAGAGTAAAAATCAACTTTCTATTTTTGGGTTCTCTGTGCCCTTTTATTAGAAGTAGCCGATCATTATTATTATTATTAATCATAGTACTATTAGTACTATGAGGGATATGATTATTATTATTATTTTTATTATTATTATTATTATTATTATTATTATTATTATTATTAATAATATTATTATTATTACTATTATTAGTACTATTATTATACCATTACAAACATAAGTAATGTAATCGCAGCCACTGCTTTTGCTGTTCGTTAACTTAATTTATTATATCTAATTGATATACCGTGACGTTCCAACTGTTGATTAAACCAAGCAATTTATCAAAATAATAAGCGGTTATCACTGCTCTTTCTACAATAGGTTTCATTAAATAAACAAATCCTACCGAACATAAGAAAGTACTATTAATGTTTTATCTTAAAAACAATATTAAAATGAGATAAAAAATTTGTAAAATCTGAATCTAAAAGGGAAAGGAAGAGAATAAGTAACTGAATCACCTTCTCTTCCCTAAATGCATGTAGGAGAACAAGCCAGATGTGGGACGTGTCAATTTATGAGTGGCTAAACTAGAGCAGCTCTGGCCAACTAGATTTCCGGCTATTATATTTTCCTCAAGGTTTTCCCCCGGTAAGCTTTTCTGCGTCATCCTTGAACTTTGAACCAATTCAGAACCAAGGTACGCTACTCCTAATAAAAGAGACTAAATTCTCAAAAAAAAAAAAGTTAACAATCACACTTTGAACAGTGGACTAGGCAGTTTGTAGTCCATGAAGAATGCGGTAGCTCAGTCAACTAGGTCGTGGACCGACACGAGGTGAAATCCCCGTCCAATACGTTATTTACGAGCAAAAAGGGGACGCATAGTACTATAATATAAAAAAAGAGCCCATCTCTGCTACCTCACAGTTCACCATAAAGCAAGTTTTTATTATTCTCTCAAACGGTCGACTAGGGGTGAAAGAGGGTATTATTACAGTTGCTCCAATTATTGCGAATCGATTAATGTGAATATTTTCATTGAACTGACAAGTTATGGTGAGTTAATTCTTTATATCATCAAATGTAGTTACAGAGTATCTAATTATTAAAACTTCAGTTCCAAAAAAGGGTTAAGAACTTTCAATTTACATAACAAATTGTCACGTCCGCGCAATAATTGGTGCAAACATAACCTCTTTCACTATGAATGTATTATTGTGGATAACCCATTGATTTAACATTAAAATAGACCACAATAATACGTTCACAATGATACATACAGGCTCGCAATGATACTAGCATTGGCAAAATTAAACTTTTAAACCTCTTTTTAATTCAATATTCAAGATATAACTAATTTATTAAAGCAAAATTCAGAAGTTGTTAGGTTTAGCATCAACAGACAAAAATATTACAACGATTAGACAAACTGAATTTCTTAGATATACGTCTAAAACTAACCACTAAAAAATCGCAATCATACCCTTATTTACCCTTATGTAATGAAAGTCCGTCTCTGCTATCTCGCAGCTAATTTGACGGTAAGACCACTTTTTATGAAGGCTGAGCCTAATAAAATGTTAATTTGAGCATTTTGAGATTTACTTATCTTATTTTCATTATTTTACTAATTTTTTGGCCTATATTCGACAAAAAAGCTGTAGAATAGGATTGATAATTATAAATTAGACACAAATATTTGAG